TGCTCCGCCGCCGACCCCCGCTGAGCTGGGCGCGGGGCGAGCTGTTCAAGGGCCAGAGCATTTAAAGGGGCCATTTAAAGGGGCCGTGCACGTGGGCGTGTGGACGGGGCATTTGTTCCTCCCTCCGGCCGTGGCACCGGCGCTGGTCCTGCGTTGCAGGGGCAGGAGGGAGACGGGTCTTTCTGGGCGTGTGAGCAGCTGGACGCAGTCGCGGCCCGGAGCCGGCGACCTGGTGCCCGGGTGTTGGGCTGTTTTATCGGCACTTACAGCTGTGGGAGGCGCCCAGAACCCAGCATTTGGAGCTGAAGGAGCCTGGGACAGTAGCTAGTCCCCAGCCCACATGTTATGGACGAAGAAACGCAGCCCACAGACCTCCTACGGAGGTCGCCCAGGTAGGAGACAGCACAGCCAGGCTCCGTCCTGGCCTCGAGTCCTGCTGCCCAGCCCGTGGGCCAGCTCCGCCCTTGGGCCGTTGGATGGAAGGCTCCTGTCTGCTGACTTCTCGAGTATTCCCCGGTGAAGGGGTGCACTGTGGTTGGTGGCTCACTGCAGGCGGGCAGCCTGGGAGCGCCCACCGGAACAACTGCGGAGCCAACTTCACCCCAAGTTGACTCCCTGGGCTGCCAAGTCTGCGTGCTGCCCGCACGGATGCCCTGCTGTGTGCACAGCTCCTTCTGCAGACACCTGAGCCTGCAGGGCCTTCAGCCAAGACCTTTGGCAGGAATTAGGCTCTGGAGAAGCGGCTGCAGGTGCGTGAGCCTCAGGTTCCCGGCTGTGAGAATGGGGTTGAGTGCGAGCGGGGAAACATGTCTGTCAGCAGCTGTGTTTTGGGGGCCGAGCTGGTGAAGGGGCGGGGATCCTGGCTCCAGCTCAGAGCTGCGGCCTCAGGCGGGCAGGCTGTCCGTGTTGCGTTGTGTAGGTGAGGGGCTCTCAGGAGGGGGGGCGGGTGTTGGAGGACTGTTGGTACCGAGTGGAGTGGCGATCGTTTGTGGTTTTCAGGAACATTCTGTATCGTTTGGGGTTGAAGTACCTGTGCAGGCCTGGAGTGTGTGTATGGGGATGAGTGTTCCTGTCTGAGAAAGTGGAGGTCAGGGACGAGCAAGGCTGCCGCTCAGATGTGCCTGGACGCCCAGGGCTGGTGTCACGCCTGTGGCCATGCCCTGCTCACCGTGCCCCTGTGCAAACAGGGTTTGCCAAATACGAGTTCCCTACCTACCTTGGCATCTGTCTCTCCAAGTTATTGATGATGATCATGACATAACATACCTTTATGAGTTAGTCCTAGTCCAGTGATGGCGAACCTATGACACGCGTGTCAGAGGTGACACGCGAACTCATTTTTTTGGTTGATTTTTCTTTGTTAAATGGAATTTAAATATATAGAATAAATATCAAAAATATAAGTCTTTGTTTTACTATGGTTGCAAATATCAAAAAATGTCTATATGTGACACGGCACCAGAGTTAAGTTAGGGTTTTTCAAAATGCTGACACGCCGAGCTCAAAAGCTTCGCCATCACTGTCCTAGTCCATGAAAAGCTGTTTTGTACAGTAGTTCACAATTACCTTAAGACAGTGGTTCTCAACCTTCCTAATGCCTCGACCCTTTAATACAGTTCCTCATGTTGTGGTGACCCCCAATGTCATTGTTACAAATTGAACATAATTAAAGCACAGTGATTAATCACAAAAACAATATGTAATTATATGTGTGTTCCCCGATGGTCTTAGGCGACCCCTGTGAAAGGGTTGTTCGACCCCCAAAGGGGTCGCGACCCACAGGTTGAGAACCGCTGCCTTAAGAGCTCCGACCATACATACTACAGTAGCGATGATTTTCACCCTCCTCCGGGAGGAGAAACCGAGATTCAGAGAGCTAAGCCACGTTTCCTGCGATGTGGCTTCGTGACTGAGCACTAGGATTTGATCCCAGCCAGCTGTCTTAATCTTTTGAGTTTTTGCGAAAGAGGTTTCCCACATTCACCCCCACCCACGTCCCTGCACTGCTGCCAGGAAATGTCTGTGTGGTCTCCCGACTACCTGACAAAGCAAAAAATAAATTAAATATATATAGAGAGAGAGCCCTGGCTGCTTTGGCTCAGTGGATAGAGTGTCGGCCTGTGCACAGAAGAGTCCCGGGTTTGAATCCGGTGAAGGGCACACACCCAGGTTGCAGGCTTCATCCCCAGTGTGAGGCGTGCAGGAGGCAGCCAATCAATGATTCTCATCATAGATGTTTCTATCACTCTCCCTTCCTCTCTGTAATCAATAAAAATATATTTATATATATATATATGTGTGTGTGTATATATATATACATATATATATATACACACACACACACTTTAAAAAAAGAAACCAAAGCCACATGTGTGTCTCTACTAAAGACATCTTTGGCTGGTGCTCAGCTGTTGCTCTGACTTTAGGACACAGATTTTTGCAAGTATTTCCACCTGTTCTCTGACCCCAGCAGCTGGGGGAGGGGCTGGGGAGGAATGTGAGGGCTCCAGGCTGGCACGCCTGCCACCCGCCAGGGCCCGGAGGTGGTTCTCACCTTGGGCTGGCCGGGCTGGCCTGGGCCCAGGCCTTGTGTAATCCGTGTCGGCCTCCAGGCCTGGAAGTGGTCAGGGTGCCTTGTTAAGATCTGAGGAAGAGAGGAATTTCAAATCAGACCTTAGTCAAGGCCGGATGTCCAGGAGGGAGGGAGGTTTTCCCAGCCTCTTCATTGCCTGGGAGAATGGGTTGCTCAGTCGTCTTTGCCAACATAGTCTTCTGGAACGTGGAAGAGAAATTGAAAGGGTGCTCACCTTTCCGCTGACTTTTTAAAAATAAAAGTAATATGTGTGCATTCTAGAAAATTCAGGCAATATTTTTTAAAAGCCCGTTAGCCCTCGGTCCAGTGATGACAACTGTTCACATGCGTTGCCTTCTAGCAGTTCATGCACGTCCGTATCTAGTGACCTGCTGAAATATTAGAGGTAGGAATCGAGAGGAAGCTGTGTGTCCTATTCTTCCTGCTAACGTTATGCCTTCAGAATTCTCCCTGCGTTGAGTATTCTTAGAAAACGGGATTTGACTGGTGTGTAGACATCATTTATCTCACCAGTGCCAGAGCAGGGCCCTTTCCAACACTCCCTTTTGATTGCCCCAGAGAAGCAGTGCTCTGCCCCCTGCCCCATGCCCACACGTGGGCACTCCCCGTCCCTGTGCCATGCCCATGTTGGCGCCACCCCCCTTTTAGCACTAAGAGAAGAGGGCTTGTGAGGCGGGGGTCAGGAGAGAGACTCGAGTTTGTAAGGTGGCAGGTGATCTGGTGAGTATTTGTAATCCACTGACCTCTTGTCAGTGTTGGGAGAAGCTGTGTGTTAAAGACAAGGAAAAGGCCCGGGCCTTGTAAGTGTGGGTGTGTACTCGGAGAGCCCACGCGGTGTGCTGTGTGGGCCGCTGTGTGACCGTGGCCCTGGCCCGGCCGGTATGTGCCCCTCACAGGTAGGGGCAGGGATGAGCTCCTCAACTGGCAGTTGGGGGACCTGAACTGTTGGGGGGCTTTTGGCCTTGGGACTTGCTTTTGTCCCTCTGGGCGTCTATAAAATGGCGCTGACTCGATGGCCTTTGAGGGCCTTGCCGGCTCTGACATAGTCCTATGGACGCGCCCTTTGGTTTGACAAATGTTCATGTTGCCTGGGACCCTCCCAAGAGGGGCATCAGCCGGCTTCCATTGTCCCCTCTGTGTGCCTGCCTCTGTTTCATCATTATAGCCACCATTTATTGAACACCTACTATGTGCCAAGTGCTTTACACATCATCTCTAGTTTTTGCAGTACTCTTGCGAGGTGTGCGTATTTCGCTTTTTCCAGCAGAGGAAAGGACCATGGGATGTTAAATGGCCCGAGGCCTTGCAGCCGGGGAGTATGTGGCAGAGCCTCCTCCCCAGCAGGTGATGTCCATCACGGGACAGGCTGAGGTGGATGGACAGATGGATGAATGTCATCTGGGGCCAAATACAGTGGGGCCTTGACTTACGAGTTTAATTCGTTCAGAGACCAAACTCGTTAAGGAGCTCGTTAACTCAAATTACTTTGTCAACTCAATGCAAAAAATTGGCGGAGAGACAGCTGGTATCTCAAAAAACTCGTTAGTCGGGACACTCGTAAGTCGAGGCCCCACTGTACATGGGCAGATGCCCGGGGCTGGGGACACAGAAGGCAGGGAAGCTGTAGACATTTCTAAGGAAAATTCTAGGGGGATTTCCTCCCCTTAGCAAACCCTTTCCCCATATAAGGGGCGACTGGGAACTTCCCAGGAGCCATGGGAGCCCTGTGAGGTGTGGCCCTGGAGAGTGCCTGTTCTGCTAGGCCTGCACACAAGCAAACAAACAAAACCCAATGAGGTGTCGGGACCCAGCCCTTTCTCTGCAGCCCTAAGTGTTTGTGGGAAGTGCAGTAACTCCCAGATTGCTCGTGGGCTACAGTTTCCATCTTTTCCCATGAGGCACCAGTGTTTGCGGTGGCATTTTAAAGTCTGTTTCCTACCGAGGTCCGCTGGCCTTAAATTTCAAGGCCAAAACATGTACATTTCCCCGAAATGGAAAGAAGGTCGGAGAAACGGGGTCACCGGGTTTTCATGATGGCCGCGGGACCTGCTGACCGGAGTGCGTTGGAGAAATTCTCTGGGTCACAATCCCCTGGTTCGGCTGCTTCAGCGTTTCTGTCCCTTTGAGCTGATGGATGGGGGAGCGGTGGCTGTTTGCGTGTTGGATTTTGCATCCTCATCCCAGGCAGCTTTCCGTTTCCAGAACAACAAACACAGTCTCCTGCGCGGCACACCCCTGCCCCCCCCTCGGCCCCCCTGCACCGTCCCGCGCTCCCGCAGAGAACGGAGCGCTGGTTGCTATGTGGGTGACAGGATTTGACACCAGTGGTGGGAGAGTCACCCAGCCCCCCCCCCGCCCGTGAGTCAGCCTCCGTGGGGACCTCGCGCTGCTGCTGGGTGGACAGGCATGCGCGACAAGGTTGTTTATCTGCAGGTTTGGGTGGCGACTTCTCCCTCCGAGGATTTCAGGGACCAGTAGGCCGTTCCCACCGAGAAGCACAGGGAGTGCCTCCCAGCGGCTCTGTCCTCAGAGCCGGGAGCAGAGGGCTGCAGAGGACGGAGAGCGGCTTCCTGAGAAGACAGTCTGTCTATGTTGATGCTCATTATTTCCCTTTAAAAAGTTAAGAGCTTTAAAAACAGCCCTACAAATGCAATCCACGCTTATTATAGAAGCTTTAGAAATACAGAAAAACATTAAGTAAAATTCACCCACAATCTCACTATCCAAAGATAACCTCCTTTAATGTTTTGTGATTTTTTTTGCCAGGCCTTATCTATATACATTTTTAAAGAAAATTCAGGTGACTGTGTGTGTGAAGTTATATATTACGTGTAACAGCCTGTTGTAGTTTTTCCTGTTACTGAATATTCTTTGAAATACGTTTCTTACTGTTCCCATCATAAACCTCTCAGATGGATAGACCATAGGACAGAGGCAGTTCCGTCATTTCCACTTTTTTAAATAATTATAAATAAATGCGACAAACAGATTTTTATGTAAATCTTTTATTATTTTCTTAGGACAAATTCCAAGAAGTAGCGTTTCAGGATCAAAAGGTATGAATTTTTAAAGCTTTTGAAAAGTTTTACTGCCTCCAGGAAGGCGGGTCCGGCCCTGGCCCGTGTGGCTCAGTTGGCTGAACGCCATTCCATGCACCACGGTCACGGGTTCGATGCCCTGTCAGGCGCTATCCCCAGGAGGGGGCGTGCAGGAAGTGGCCTGTCCATGTTTCTCTCCCTCTCCTTTCCTCTCCCTCTAAAATCAATAAAAACATTTTTTTAAAAAAGAAAGAAAGGTGGGTCCAGTGTGTAGTAGGGGTGTTGGAGCCCCGGTTTCCCACACCCTCCTCCACGGTGGGCATGGCTTGGGGACCATCCCAGCCCTCGGACTTTCTTCTCGCCCTGCAGCTTTCCTGGTCTGAAAGCTGCTCCTCTGCCTGCCCTGCTCTCACCAGACGCAGGGTGTTCCAAAGAAAGGGCTGTTCTTTCTGCCACACCCCCATTATCAGGCACGGAGCACGAGCAGTGGGGGTGCCAGGGGGGGTGGGTGAGGCAGAGGGAGGAGTGGTCAGAGGGAGGAGAGGTCAGAGGTGAGGGAGGAAGGGGGGAGGGAGGGTGGGGAGGGAGGGCAGGAAGGTGGAGTGCGGCCAACACTTGCAGTTCTGAGCTGGGCCCAGGATTGGGCGTCTGATTCCCGGGCAGGGCAGCCCCAGAGAAGGCCTGACACCAGCCTGGGAACCACGCTGGGCTCCCTGAGAGTGCAGACCCCTGGCCCTTGGTCAGGATGAGCCCGGGATCTGCATCTCAAATGAGCAGCCTGGCATGTGTTTAAGAGCTGGGACCAGGTCTCGGGTAACGTTGAACCCATCACTTTTCAGATGCAGGGCCTCCCGACCGCTCCTCCAGGCCCTGATAGCACAGGCCCCAGAGGCCTGGGAAGAACGGGGAGGGAGGTTGTTACTACATTACTCCACACCCCAGACCAAACGGGGCGCTGGAAACAGTGTTAGAGCCCCCGAAGTTGCCCATCCTGTCTGGGCTGCTGCGGGGGGAATGCTGAGACTCAGGGCCACGTGGTTTTGAGAAAATCCAGCCGTGTCTGTGTTTCAGGCCCCCTCGGGGGTAGAAAGAATTCACCGAGGCCAGAGGGCAGCGAGGAGCTGTGGGTCCAGGCAGGTGTGTGTTTAGGTTTTCCCCCAAAGACAGCCTCAGAGAGGAGGACTTTGAAGTTCCAGACCTCCATTAGGTGAAGGAAGTCAAGCTAAGAATCACCCAGCTCTCGCCGTGTGTCGGGGCTACAAAGTGTGTCCCCCACATTGGGCCTTGACTAGACTCTCCTGGTCCAGGAGCTGCCACCAGGGAGCAGATCCTAGTTCTAGGTCAGTGGTCGGCAAACTGCGGCTCAGCAAACCGTGGCTCGCGAGCCACATGCGACTCTTTGGCAGGAGTTCTGTGTAAGGGGCGCAAGGCGGCGAGGTGGCCAGAGGTAGGCTCTGCCATGTGCTTATTAATCGGGAGGGAATTGAAGTCACGCAGGAATAATCCAGACCACAGCCCTGAGTGCAGCCACAGACGCTGCCGCGAGGACCCTGCTGGCCTCAGTATGATAAATTATGAGGGTGACCGACTTGGAGACAAACCTTCAGCAGCGGGCAGACCTGGCTGTCTGAGCCCAGTGGCATGGAGCTCAGCTGGAGGGCTTCCGGGAGGCAGCGATGGAGAGAGCTGGCCCTGGTGGCAGCTCAGCCCGGAGGGCTTCCGGGAGGCAGCGATGGGGAGAGCTGGCCCTGGTGGCAGCTCAGCCTGGAGGGCTTCCGGGAGGCAGCGATGGGGAGAGCTGGCCCTGGTGGCAGCTCAGCCCGGAGGGCTTCCGGGAGGCAGCGATGGGGAGAGCTGGCCCTGGTGGCAGCTCAGCCTAGAGGGCTTCTGGGAGGCAGTGACGGGGAGAGCTGGCCCCGGTGGCAGCTCAGCTGGAGGGCTTCCGGGAGGCAGCGATGGGGAGAGCTGGCCCTGGTGGCAGCTCAGCCTAGAGGGCTTCTGCGAGGTGGTGACGGGGAGAGCTGCTCCTGGTGGCAGCTCAGCCGCCCCTGCCCGATGTCGGTGGGGACAGTCAGATCCATCAGGGGTTCTCTGGCGTTTTCCCAGCCCCTTTGGGCTGCACTGGCTTCTGTATGGTGCTGTTGTGTATACACACCGCTCGGGACAGCACACATTGGGGACAGGCCTCTGTCCTGTGTAGTCCCTTCTTCCTGAGTCTTCCTGGGGTCCTGCCTCAGCTGTACTTTTCCACTGCGCGCGCGCACACACACACACACACACACACACACACACTCACGTGCACACACACACACTCACACGCACATGCACACATGCACACTCACACATGCTCATCCCACATGGTCTCACTTCTAACTCATGACTCTCATCTGCCTCCCGGCACCCAGACCCAGGCACTCAGCCCCCTCTTAATGCCTCTGCCTTTTAACCCACAGACACTCAGGCTCCTGGTCCGAATTCCATCTTCTCCGGAGACGATCCCGCTCCCTGTCTTCCTCACGCCTGGCCCACCCTGACTCTCTCCTCTGTTTTGCCCACATCCGGTCCTGTCTGCTTTCGTCCTGACCCTCCTGGTCCTGTCCCCTCACGTGCATCCACCGCTGATGCCTTCAGGGGAGCCCCCTTCCCTCCTCCTTATCCAGGCAGTGGCCGGACTGACACTCCTAAACACCGAGCTGGTCTGCCTGTCACGCTGCCCTTGGGGGAGGGGGGTACGGGAGACCCTTCACGCCTCCCCGGGTGGGCCCTGAGCTTTCTTCATGCCCTTCCCTCCCACCTGGAAAAGGCTGTGTCTGTCGACCCTGTTGTCTTCTCTAGAAAACATTCCTGGTCTCAGGTTTAGCCCCTTCTCGGTGCTTCTGCACCACGTGGGGAACACCTGCATCATAACCCTGGTCACACTGGGTGGCTTTTTGTTTGTTTTCTTACCGATAAAAGGGTGTCCTTTACTCATCTTTGTACCCCCAGAGCCCAGCACAGTCGCTGGCACACTGTCGGCGCTCAGCGGGTGTTTGTGGCTGGAAGGGATGAGCGTGCTGACGGGGGAGTGGCCCTGACTTCCAGTGGGCGCCTGCCCCCCGTGACCTGGTCTCCTGAGGCCGTCCCTCGGCGCAGCAGCTGCCTGGTGGCTGTGGGACTTGCTGTACAGCGGTCATTGCACACGGTGTCGGGGTTGCTGCAAGCAGGGCCTGTGTCCGGGTCTTAGAGCCGCTAACCCCCTCTGTCCCCCACCGCCTTGGCCTCAGGGGAGGGGAATGAGCTCTCCTGTGTTTGCTTTCCCAGACACTTCTAGAGGCAGGGCCATGCTCACGTTCATGGCCTCTGACAGCGAGGAAGACGCGTGCAACGAGCGGACGTCCCTGATGTCAGCTGAGAGCCCCGTGCCTCGCTCCTGCCAGGAAGGCAGGCAGGGCCCCGAGGACGGAGAGGATGCGGCCCAGTGGGTAGGTTCCCGCCAGCGGGCGGAGGCCTCGAAACAGGCCCCTGGGGTCCCTGTGCCTGTGGATGGAAGCCGGACGTTCCCGGTGCGGGAGGAGGGAGAGTAAAGTGAGGACTGGCGGGCAGTGGTGGTTGCCATGGCACAGCTCAGGCATGAGGGCTTTAGAGTGACCGCACTGCCCAGCCGGACGTGCGACTGCAGTGGCCCGAGCGAGTCTGCCCCAGCCCTGCCCTACACTCACCTTCCTAGTGAGGAACGCGCGTGTGAGTTTGGATGCGGGGACAGGTCACAGGCTCAGGGACGGCCGAGGGGAGCCTTTTTGGCAGATGGCAGCCGTGGGGACGCAGCGATGACCCAGCGATGACTGTACCTGCGTCATGTTCGGCTTTGAGCTGGGGCTGTGTCCCCCTCCTTTCCAGCTGCTGTCACAAGACTATCACAGACACAGATTTAATCCTCGCTGTTCTGGAGACTGGAAGCCCAGCATCGGGTGCCAGCAGATGTGGTGTCAGGAGAGGCCCACTTCCGGCTCCCAGGCAGCCTTGTCCTCGTGGTGGGAGGGGGAGGGTGCTCTCTGTGGTCCCTTTATAGAGGCCCTGATGCTGCTCACGGCCCCGCTCTCATGACCAATCCCCTCCCAGAGGCCCCGCCTCCTGATACCATCACACTGGGGGGGAGGCTTCAACACAGGAAATTGGAGGGACAGTCAGTTCATGGCAGGAAGGGGGCTGCGCTGTGATGTGATCTCTGCGGCCCACAGGGCAGGAGGTTATAAGGTCAGGGAGTGGGGGGTGTTCTTGGAGAGGCACCAGCCACGCCACCCCCCCTCAGGGAAAAACAGCCTCCTGCTTGGTTTGGCCCATTCTGGTATTTAAACAGCTTCCGTGGGATGTTTCTTCCAGCCCCGACCCCCTTGCTCATTTCTAACGTCCTGGCCTCCACGCAAGACCACGGCCACCGCACAGCACTCCTTAGCCTGTCCTTGCGAGTCTCTTCATCTCTCAGCGCCTGGAGTTTTGTGCATTTTAGTTGCTTCACTTCATGAACAGTTTCTTCTGTTCTCAGCTGAGGATCTAGATTGGAATCCCTGCAAAGCACCTACCGAAGCAATAGTCGTTTTTTAGTTTTGTTTCATTTGGCTTTGGCTTTGGCTGTTAATGTAACTACCAGAGCAGCTGATGACCCTGAATTGCCACAATTCCAGAACAAATTCTGTGGTTCATTTGTGCCTGCGTCTGGCAGGCGTCCTGCCCACTCCTTCGCCGCTCACTCATTTACTCTTCCCAACTTCCCTTCGGCCCGGACCTCCCAGACGCCTGACTCTCGGTTAGCCACTCTGGCTCAGCTGCAAATTTGCATGCTTGGTTTTGAGGCACAAACGTTCAAAGTAATTTATTCCTCTGCAAATTCCCAGTGTCTTATTTATAATCAAAGAAAGTCCGTCCCTATGTGTGCTGGCCATTCTAGTTTGTGATTTGTGAACCAAAAATGTTTGCTCGACCTAGCCGGTTTGGCTCAGTGGATAGAGCTTCGGCCCCAAGACTGAAGGGTCCTGGGTTCGATTCCAGTCAAGGGCACGTACCTCGGTGACAGGCTCAATCCCCGGGCCTGGTCGGAGTGCTTTCGGGAGGCAACCAATCGATGTGTATCCTTCACATCGGTGTTTCTGTCTCTCCCCCTCCCTTCCATTCTCTCTAAAAACCAATGGAAAAATATCCGCAGGTGAGGATTAACCAAAAAGAAAAAGAAAAAAAGCAACACTTAAAAAAAAAGTTTGCTCTGTTTTCCTGTCGCCTGGCCTGACGGTGCCGCGTCCGTGTGGCCACGTGAGCAGCATGAGGGGCACCCTGCGCCCGTGCTGAGTGGGGCGAGCTCTGTAGACGGGCTCCACCAGTAGCCATGAAGCGCGGGCCTGAGACCACCTCCTCTGGCTGCCGCGGCCCCGCCTGCATCTGCGGTGGTCAGTGCCGGCTCTGACTCTCTAGCTGTCCTCCTACACTCCTCAGAGGAGCTGGCAGTCCCAGCTCCCTCACCTGCACTGCGGCCCGGAGACGGAAGCAGCAGTCACCCTCCTCCTTTCCTCTTCCACACCCGCGCCGCGTGGCAGGCCACCTTGGGGCCTCCGTGGCCCTGACCGTGTGCTTCCCACAGAGAAGCCAGGGCCGCGAGGAGGGCCAGGAGGAAGACCCTGACCGCTACGTCTGCAGCGGGGTCCCCGGGCGGCTGCCGGGCCTGGAGGAGGAGCTGACCCTCAAGTACGGGGCGAAGCACGTGATCATGCTCTTCGTGCCCGTCACGCTGTGCATGGTCGTGGTGGTGGCCACCATCAAGTCCGTGCGCTTCTACACGGAGAAGAACGGGCAGCTGTGAGTGGGGCCGCGGCAGGTGGGAGCGGGGCTGGGTCGGGGTGGTGGCCTCCGCCGGCCAGGGCACCGCAGCTCCGTGCCAGCGGCAGAAAGGAGCAGGGACCAAGAGTCCGCACCCTGGTCTGGGGCCGGTCCTCAGGCTGAGGTCGGGGCGGGAGAGGGGTTGGAAGGCAGGGCAGCAGCGGGGATGGCCGACAGCACGCCCCCAGGGCAGGCGTCCAAGGCTCCTGGGGCGGGGCACACGGACCAGGCAGGGACAGGCACCGAGCCCTGGCCTCCTCCCTCAGCATCTACACGCCCTTCACCGAGGACACGCCCTCGGTGGGCCAGCGCCTGCTCAACTCCGTGCTCAACACCCTCATCATGCTCAGCGTCATCGTGGTCATGACCATCTTCCTGGTTGTGCTGTACAAGTACCGCTGCTACAAGGTGAGCGCCGCCCGCCTGTCCCGCCCACCGGGTCCTCCCGCCGCCGCCCCCTTGCGGTGCGTCTTATGCTGGAACCGTTGTCTTAAAAAAATCAGAGTTCCTTTTTCTCTGCAAAACAGACTCTGGTTTTTGGTACTCTTACCTCCCCTCTCCTGCCCCTACCATGGGTTAGCCAATGCTCTTGTGTTTTAAACTTACACATAATCCCACCTAATTGAGTTCCTCCTTGCCACATTCACATGTCACTTCTCTATTCAAGGTCAGTTTTCTTTTGCTTCTCCTTCCGAAGGAATGAGTGTTCTATTCTAGGCTCCCTTTACCCCATACTTCCCTCCGGGCTTATTTTATTTTCCCATTTCCCTTTAGGCCGGTCGTACAGATGCTATGCTGGGTCTCCAGTGCTGGTTAGGAGACCCACTCTCCTCCCACTCACCGCCCCCCCCCCCAGCTGTGGAGTGGCCCCGGGGTGGTAGAGGCGTGGAGTCCGCCTGGCCCACATCCTGGGCATTGCCGCCAGAGATGCCATAGCTTGTAGACTCGGTTTCAGGCTTCTCAGAGCTTTGACGCCCTGAGGACTAGAAGGAAGTTAAACTAGGCATTACCTAATGCAAACCGCTCACACACAGGCGTGAGCACGTTGTACTCAGGCTGCCGCCTTCTGTGGGGCAGGTAGAGGGAGGGGAGGAGGCTCGGCCTGAAGAGATGAGCCCCCTCCCAGTGGGGGTGGAAGTGGGGTGCATGAAGGGAGGGCTGTCAGGAGGTGTGTGGGAGCTGAGCTTATCGATAGGTAATGACTTGTGCAGGTGAGCCCGAGTTTCAGGTTGGGGTGGGGAGGGCGGTGGACGGGGAAGAGGGTGGAGGGCTGCTTGTCCGGAGCACAGATGAGACCCAGCTGGGAGCCGGGAGTGGGGGGCCAGCACTGCTGTGGTCAGTAGGCACCAGGTGGCCAGTCCCGGGGCTGTGCAGTCAGGTCCCATGACCTCAGGTGATGGCCATGGCCTTGGGCGGGCGGGGCTGCTGTGATAAAGTGTCGGCACCTTCCAGAGGCAGCCGGGCACTGACAAGGCCACGGCCTCACTCCTGGGGGACCAGGTCCTGCCTGAGGCGCCGTGTCCCGAGCTGGGTCTGTCTGCAGGTGGGGAGGCTGGAAGGAGCGTCAGTCTGTGCCCTGTGCCGGGCCCGGGACTGGCTGAGGATCAGCCCCTCGTCCTTCACCCTCCCCAGCTTGGCAGGGAGGACAGGAGTGTTTGCAGACCCTCAGGTGGGAAGGACTCCCTGGGTTGACTTTGTTCAAAAGAAGCCTCTCCAAGAGCCTGCCCTGCCCACTCGTCTAAGCACCGGTGGCTTTCCTGGGACCAGCCTGCAGTTGGTTTTCTTCAGAGCCCCTGCCGCCCTCTGTCACGATGCGTGTGTATCTGTGTGTCGCCTGCTGCCCTCACACTGGAATGCAGCACGCGTGGGCAGAGGCTTTGCTGGCTTCCTCGAGCGCCCAGACAGTGCCTGGCGTGTAGGGACGCCAGCATGTCCTCTGAGTGGGTCAGGTGCAGGTGTTAGGCCTAAAGCAGTTGGGTCTCCGTACACTCGCAGGGCGGCCTAGGGAGACCTTGAGTTTCTGTGCCCCATGTGCCTGGAGAACGGCCACCCCGGCCCTCCAGCCCAGCCGCGGAGGAGCCTGAGGAAGCAGGGTTCCCGGCCTGGGCAGCGTCAGCGCCGGGAGCCTGAGGCTGCGATGGGGCTGGGGCACCTGTGCTCACGCTGCCTGCTTCTCTCTAGTTCATCCACGGCTGGCTGATCATGTCCTCGCTGATGCTGCTGTTCCTCTTCACCTACATCTACCTCGGGTGAGTGGCAGCTGGTGGGCAGCAGAGTCCTCGGGGCCCCTCCCGCTGTGGCACATGAAGGACCTGGGTGGGGAAGGGCTCCCCTGGGCTCCACACCCTCCCCAGGGTCTGCTCCCAGCCGGGCTCCTCTTTCCACAGACCTTTTCTTATCGTATTTTTATTGATTTCAGCGAGGAAGGGAGAAGGAAAGAGAAATAGAAATATCAGTGATGAGAATGATTGATCGGCTGCCTCCTACACGCCCCCTCCTGGGGATGGAGCCTGAAACCCGGCCAGTGCCCTGACTGGGAATCAAATCGTGACCTCCTGGTTCCTAGGTCGATGCTCAGCCACTGGGCCACACCGGCTGGGCCTGCAGGCCTTATTCTGACACGGGAGTGGTCTCCGTGGTGGGCCACGCGTCTCTTTGTGGTTCCTAATTTAAAACACGAGCAGAGCCTTCAGGGACGAGGCTCTCTGTGAACCCAAGGAGGGTAGGACCCCTCAGAATTTACATTCTAGTCTTTGGGCTGCACCTGGGTTATTCCTAGTTTATGGCAAAAAGGGTCTCCATTGCCCTTGATTTGGGATATCAGCCTGACCCAGGGGCACAGAGACAGGAGGGAGCGGAGAGAGCACATTCCCCGGAATGTTCAGGGGCTGAGGGCCTTCCGGTCGTGCCAGTGCACACCCACGTGGAGCACCCCAAGAACGAGCTGTCGGCTTCCCCACCCCTCGTTCCAGAACCATTTCCAGTGGTTCGTGCAGGACTCCTAGGAATGGGGAAGGGAATGCTGGTCAGTGGCACCAGGAGCTGGAAACCAGGCTGGGACTTGAGGGCTGAGGAGCAGGGTGTTGAATGGCATCCGGGTCTGGCTCTCGCTGAGTGCCCGGCCCCCCGGGCTTGACTTGGGTCCCGCAGGGAAGTGCTCAAGACCTACAACGTGGCCATGGACTACCCCACCCTGTTCCTGGTCGTCTGGAACTTCGGGGCGGTGGGCATGGTGTGCATCCACTGGAAGGGCCCGCTGGTGCTGCAGCAGGCCTACCTCATCATGATCAGCGCGCTCATGGCCTTGGTCTTCATCAAGTACCTCCCGGAGTGGTCCGCCTGGGTCATCCTGGGCGCCATCTCTGTGTACGGTAGGTGGGCGCCGGCGGGCAGAGCCTGCGGCAGGCAGTGGGTCGGCGTCGAGGGCCCAGCCTCGCTGTGGCACACGCGGTTGGTGTGGAAAGGCCCCTCCTCCCTCCCCCCGGGCCTGGGGGCGGGGGGCGGGGGGCCTCCCTTCTGAGAGATTGTCCCGCGTGGACTCACGACTGCTGAGCGGTTTGTTAATAGCAGACGTTTACCGAGCCCTCGCACTGCAGCTCGATGCACTGCCAGTCCTGGGCACGGGCTGGGCACGGCACCTGTATCATAGGCACCCGGAGCGCTAGCCACGGCCTCGTTGGCATTAGTGTGAGGGCCTCCCCAGTTCTGTTTCTTCCGTTTTAGGGCCCAGAGAAGTGAGACTCCCAGTTCCTCCTCTTCCCTGCTCGCAGGTAGCCCTCCCAGCCCGCTCTGGGCTCCCGCCTGGGCAGGCTGGCGGCTGTGGCTGGAGACCGTGGGTTGGGTGATAGGACGGCAGGGCCCGTCCTGAGAGCCTCACACTCGGGCTCTGGGGCACGCCCCCCCCATACCGGTGTTAGGGGGCTGGCTCATCTCTTTGGGGGTGCTTGGGGATAAATCTCCTTTTTAACTTTGTTTTTCCAGATCTCATGGCTGTGCTGTGCCCCAAGGGGCCGCTGCGGATGCTGGTGGAGACGGCCCAGGAGAGGAATGAGCCCATATTTCCTGCCCTGATATACTCCTGTGAGTGGCCCCCACCCCCTCCCGACACGGGGTCAGGCCTGGCTTCAGAGTTCACTGGGGGATGGTTACCTGTTCCCTGACCCAAGCGGGGAGGAGGCCTGGAGACCTCAGGAGGGTCTCCCCTTCCAGGACGACAGCGGGCGGCAGCTTGCTGTTACACGGGCGAAGGTGAGAAGTGAGCGAGGCGGGCCGCGGCTTCCCCAGCCGCATGGCTGCTGGCGTTGAGTCTCTGAGGGGAGGCACGTGGGGGCCCCTGGCTCAGGCCAGGTGTAGGGTGGGTGCACATGCGTGCAGCACACCTGTATCAGAGCCCCCCTTGTGGCGGGCACTCTGCGGGCCTCGGAGACGCCGATGAGACAAGGCCCGCGGGGGCCGGAGCCCCCAGAGCGCACAGCCCTGTGGCTTTAATCCCTCCGTCTGTGGCCGGTGGCCCTTACTTAAGTAGAGACCTTGAACTTCCGGGGCCGGCTCTGCAGGGTGCCCTGGAGCCCGTGATGGAGCATCTGCAGGGTTCTGGGTGACCTCTAACAAATGAAGGTCGAATGGAAGCTCCGTCCAGGCACGTTCCGAGGATGAGCCGGCACCGCGTGGGGAAAGACCGGACGGTGCCTGGACTCGTTCACCATCTGTGCCCTCGCGGAGCTTGCATTCTGGGAGGGGGACAGGCAGTAACTAGCAGACAAGCCAGGAGGTGCGTGCTGTGTGGAGAGACGGCGGGGGGCGGGGGCGGGGCCTGAGGACTCCGGGGCAGTGGCGCTGCTGTTTCACACGCGATGGTCAAGGAAGGCCTCTGTCAGAGGAGGCGTGTCCTGCCCTGGGACAACCTGGGACGGAATTCTGGGCAGAAGGAAGAGCAGCAGGTGCCGAGGCCTAAGATGGATGAGGGGGGTCCAGGTCACAGTCGGCCCTGCAGGCTTTTCCTCCTCAGTGAGACGTGACACAACCTGGAAGATTTCAGACTGACGTGACGTGACTTGTTTGCTCTTTTTTTAAAAATATATTTTATTGATTTTTTACAGAGAGGAAGGGAGAGGGATAGAGAATTAGAAACATCGATGAGAGAGAAACATCGATCACCTGCCTCCTGCACAGCCCCTACTGGGGATGTGCCCGCAACCAAGGTACATGCCCTTGACTGGAATTGAACCTGGGACCCTTCAGTCCTCGGGCTGACGCTCTATCCATGAGCCAGACCGGCCAGGGCGTGACTTGACGTTTTAATAGGACTGCACAGGTTGCTGGGTGGGGAACAGTGGTTCGGGATCAAGAGGGGGCAGGAGCTGGATTTAGAGACTGAAGAACAACCTGAGAGAGAGGAATGAGAGTCAAGGATGATGGCAGTGTTTGGGTCTGAGCAGCAAAGAGGATGGAACTGGCAGTGGTTGGGAGCAGTGGGGGCGCATGGAGTGTGAGGTGCCCCCGGGCATTGGCTGCAGAGCTGGGCGTGAATGCAAGAGGGAGTCTCCAGGCCAGAGAGAACACAGTTAGTACCACGTGATGCGGCAGGCCCCCTCTGGACAGAGACCCAGGAGGACTGAAAGCAGGCCTTGGGCGTGTGTGTGTGCAGCCATGTTCGTAGCAGCAGCATTCACAACAGCCAAGAGCTGGAAGCAGCCAGGTGTCTACTGATGGGTGAGCGGATAAACCAAATGTGGTATCGACACAGTGGAATACGACTCAGCCTTGAAAAGGAAAGGAGTTCTGACATGTGCTACAGGCATGAACCTTGAGGACATGCTAAGCGGATTAAGCCAGTTACCAAGAGACAGATACTGTAGATTCCACATATGTGAGGTATCGGACTCATAGAGACAGGAAGTAGAAGGACAGGGGAAGGGGAAGTGGGGCTGGTCACTGGGTGTGAAGTTTCCATGCTGCGAGTTGGAAAAGTTGTGGAGATCTGTTCCACAACAACGTGCATATACTTAACACTTCAAATGGCTGAGATGATAGAGTTTACTAGAGGCTGATGCACGAAATTCCTGCAAGAGTAGGCCTTCCTTCCCCGGGCTGCCGGCACCAGCTTCCCTCCGCACCCAGGACCCGGGCTTCCCTCACAGCCCCGGCTTCGTCTAGAAGGTTGTCCGGAAGGACGTCTGGTCTAATTAGCATATTACGCTTTTATTATTATAGATGTTACATGTTCTTTACACAATAAAACGAAAACACAATTAGTTCATCAAACTGTTCGCTGATATTATTGCCATTGTTTTGGTGAGGAGGCAAAAAAAGACAGGAAAGGCGTTGTCTGCCGGAACCTGGTCAGTGAGTGTGGACCCCTCCCCTGCGGCCTCCTGCCAGAGGGCACAGCGAATGCCAGGGAACGGGGGGCTTGTGTGGGCTTCCGGGGATCCCGGGAGCCTGTTGGCCCCGCCTGAGGCATGACCCTTCTCTCCTCCCCCAGCCGCCATGGTGTGGACAGTGGGCATGGCCAAGCCGGACCCCTCCTCTCAGGGGGCCCTTCAGCTCCCCTACGACCCAGAGATGGGTGAGTGCCGGGGGCTGGTAGCCCGGGGCCCTGGGGGCGGCCCCTCACTGCTCCCCGCTCAGCCTGGCCTGGCCTTCCCGGGAGACACGAGGTTGGGGGGCAGAAGGGAAGACCAGCCCTCCTGGCATCTTGGGGACCAAGCGAGGGTGGCCTTCCGTCCTCTGCCTCAGCCCCTTCCCTCTTACATGGCCTGGGGAGTCTTTCCTTGGCGCCGGGCCAGGGGGCGGGCAGGGACCCTGAGCTCCAGAGAAGCCTCTGACCAGCTTCTGTCTCTCCCTTCCTCTCCCACCCCGCGGGGATGCCGGCGTCTCCTCCTGGACCCAGAAGAAGACTCCTGCGACAGTTTGGGGGAGTCCTCGTACCCGGAAGTCCTTGAGCCCCCCCTGCCTGGCTCCCCAGGGGAGGAGCTGGAGGAAGAGGAGGAAAGTAAGGTGCCCGTGTCCAGATGGTCCGTGGGCCCCGGGTGGGGGGGAGATGGGGAGCCCTGATATCCAGGGCGGAGGGCGTGAGGGAGACGGCCTTGCCGGCGTCCAGGAGGAACCCGTGGGGGTAGGTCCTGTCGGCAGGCCGCGGGCCTCGCACACGCTGGCTGAAGCCTGTATTGAACCATGGTCACTGAGCCCCAGCCGTGTGCCGGCCTGCACTGTGCAGGGCCCCAGCTCTGAGACTCACCTCGCACAGGGTGGGCCCTGATCACAGACACTGAGTCGGGGGAGGGGGGCCGTGCAGGAGAACACGGGATGGGGGCACCGGGGGTTCTTGACCAGGTGTCGGGGGTCAGAGGGAGACCTGAGCTCCCAGGTTCAGCCATGTCAGGACAGACATTGCCTTGACCAGGAGGAGGGCCACCTGGTTGGAGTCTGGAGGGAAGGAGGGCATGGGGCAGGGAGGGC